AATCCAAAAATTAATTGTTTTAAAATGAAATACTTATAAAAAAAATCAGTTCGAAAAACACAAGAACAGGAATACTATAAATTTATTATAGTTCAATATTACCTTATCTGGCTACATTCATACAAGTTATACTTGAAATTACTACAAAATAAGTTGTTGATTGATTGTCTATTGTTTAGAATATAAATTGTAAAGTTTCAGGAGAGTTTTAAGCGTATATCTTAAGCGTCATAACTAGAATACTTGTAATAACTTTATTACTTTTCTTGTCTATTAAATGTAATCACCTAACTGTTTGGTTAATAGCAGAAGTACATTTTGGTATTAATCCACTACAGAGAGTCGTTTGCAAGAAACAGAGTTTAGACCGCCAGAATATTATACTCATTTCTGAAAGTGTATAACTTATTTACGAAATAAATACAGTTGGTCTACTGAATTCGAATGATTTCATCAACAAGTACTTCTGTAGTTGTCTCTTTTCAAAAACATTTTAAATATCCACATGATTATACTGACACAGCTACTAACCAAGAAAACAACCATTAAATATAATTTGTCTTATATAAAACTGTCAGATAGTATGAGACACGTTTCAGTTCATTCAATTAAACGTTTCACAAGTGTATGTCAAACTTAGTCAAGCAAAAAAAAAGTCTATTTTAATTTGTATTAATCTCTTTTCAGAGTTTTCACTATTGTCAGAAAGCTAACTAACTATTTATCGTCATAAATAACTTTTGGAACAAACATGTGCTGCTTAATGTCGCGTTATATGATCTTTAACTAAGTCCTGTTCACATGAACCTTCTAAATTGGCAAAACACATTCAAACAACTTTCAAATTATATATATATATATATATATATATATATATATATATATATATATCGGTGTTATGTTTTCCTAGTACTTAGTATTGGTTAAGCTCTGTCTATCCTGTTACATTGAGGTCATTGGTCTAAGTGACCAGACATTGTATACACTGTTTAGGTGGTAAGTAAAGATGCTCAGTGAGAAACCTTGGATGCAGATTCCGTGGTAGATCCTTGAAGACTCCAAATATGTCTTACTGACGAGTGGTAACTAGCAATAAACTTAGGTCTAGAGTTTCCTTTTGATGACCTTTGAACCCTAAATATATGTATTAGCTTTCGAAAACTAATCAGTAATTGTTTAAAAATCCAAAGTAGGTTAACTATCAGTTGATCCATTTACAAAAGGTTGATTAATCGTACACAGAGCCACGCTCTAAGTGGACGTGATTAAAAGTAATTTACTAATGTATATTCATTAAACGTTTTTTAAATGATAAATTGATCTAACTGAGTAGCTTAATTAAAAATTATATCATAAACTCAATTATCTTAACATACTAAAATTGACCTGTTGATTTATATTAGTGAAAATGTTAGCTACATTATTTGAAAAAGGTTAACATCGCAAGAAAACAATTGTTCTCACGCCAAACCCATTAGTTTAACCTGCAGAGAAACATCCTCCAAAAGAAATTAACAAACTAAGAACCTACATCAGTCAACCACTTGACAGTTTTATGACTAACGATTTAGGTAGCACTGCTTACTTTGTAAACCATAAAGTGAGTTCAGTTTTCACTTTTATAATTCAACCTGTATTATACTTGAATGACTCTTCATATTTATTGATTATCTGGATAGAATATCACTAAACAAGATCCATCAATAGTTTGTTATGAAATGCTCTTATTGTAATAAAGCATAAAGAAATACTTTTTTCTGCATAGTATCAACATCTACTAATCTGTTATTAAAAACTGGAGACTACCGCAGAAATGAGCTATACTTTATTTTTCCTAAACAAAAATATCTATTACAAGTTAAACCATTTGAAAAATATGGAAATTCACAATATTACGAATATCAGACAAACGTTATTTGGTTGTAATGTCTAACTTTATCATAAATGTATGAAGACATTCACATAAATTGGTGGAACTGTGAATATATTTAGGTTTTTGATGACGCATAAGTAGGACATATGCATAGAATTCATAGAGATTGTTTAAAAACATAACTTGTTAAAGGAAACCCATCTATTTTCTTCAACAGTACAAGTAGTGGTAGTCTATCTCCTCATTTTGATGAAAACAGTGAATGTATGAGATCTCTTGTACGGATTTACTCTATAAGTGATTAGTGACGGACTGAACACAGGTAAATAGTCTGTTTAAATGATTCGTGAACTGAAGAGTCGATTGGTACAACTTACTATTGAGAATTTTAAAGACTGTCAGAAATGATCATATCGGTTATATAGCAAATTAACTGGCACAAGTACAAAGTTTTCAGAGGGGAATATATTCCAACTTTTTGGAAAAAGAAGTTTTAATGACCTTGGTTCACGTGCTTACTGAATAAACCACTTTAGACCGACAAATGATTTGTAATTCATACAGAAATCGAAGATCATGTTTCTATACGATCAATAATTTTAATATGGTACTACTTAGGAAAAAATGAAAGACTGTATTTTTTATAATCTGCTTGTAAATAGAAAGAACACAGATGCAGAGAAAATATTAGTCGACTAAAGTGTTGAATAAGTATAAATATCACATTGAAAATATCGATGATATACAACTATTTTTTGAGAGACATAATTAACCTTGACAATCGATGTACAGAAGAAAAGTAGCTAACTAATTAAAACCAAATTTAGTCTATGGTAATTAGACGAATCGTTAAAATACTGATAATTTCGTGGTACCTATTAGGTACATGTAAAAACATAATCTTTAAATTTTTAGCATAGTAGTAGTAAGGTTTTAGATGACATTGAGGAGTTGTGAGCAGTTTTTGATCTTCGTTATTGATTTACAACTTTTTGAGTTGATTAAGTTGTTTACAGTCATAATATTAACTAAATTATTGATATAGAAATAAAAATTTTACTATTTGATAAATTTAACAAGTTAGACAACAGTTTTATTTTAACAAACCCCTTCGGCTAACTGCATGAGTCTGTTCATCTCGGTGACATTACTGTTTATGTAGATCGATTAAGGAATGTTTCAATATATTAATTAATAACTTTGGCAATGGCAATCAATTCTTTTATTACTTGAAAAACATCTTTGTCATTAGAAGAAATTGTCCCAAGATGAAAATAGTTTGCAGTATTATTCATTATTATTCCTGGTAATTATGAAGCTACTTACACTTATTTCAGTTAATATGCCTTTGATAATCGAATGGGTAAGGTTATAGTTTATCTGAATATTCTGATCAAGATAACACTCAGTTATTCAATCAGCAGCAACGCTGAACTTCGTACGTACGTGCATCACTTCAAGTTGCCACACCACATTTACGCATAGAGATCGAATTGTCAATTCAAATCCTATAGTGGTAAAGGTAGTTAAAGTATTATCAGTATCGAAGAAAAATAGGTTCGAAGATGTGATTCGAGAACCAAATCCCAGTGAAATAAATTTTAAAAGAGAGAAGCGGTCATGAAGAATTCAGAAGATTAGTAGTTGCGGGAACACAAAGAATGGATGCATCTCCACCATTGTAAACGTTTTTGAAGGATGTCATTCAAAGTTTCTAACCACCGACTACTATCATCTCGCGGACCCCAACACGGTAGTCGACACCTACCAGCATGGTTTAGTCCTTTTGTCAGCGAGTTCATGGATTTATGCCATCGTTTGGTTCGGCATCCCCTAAAGTCCGTTCCGCCTACCTTACATTACAATATACCTCTCGTTGAGGCACTCAGTGGTTGGGCATTCGTAACACATATCCCAACCACCTCAACTGACGAAGTTTCATTACTTTAACTTTTGATTTACTATCCTCATTGAGTGACCATTTTCTAACACCAGTAGTGCTTACCCGGTGGTCCCAGGATATACGAGCTATGTTTCGGAGACACATCGTCGAAAACCAGTCACCTACGAATATCTTCTACTCTGACTGTCCATATTTCTCAGCCATATATTATTAGGATGGAGCGAACATGTGCCCAATACACTCGTCCTTTGGTTAGCAGACGGATATTTCGCCTACGCCATAAGTGATGCAAGTTGGCAAAAGTCAATAAATCCTGCTGTATCCGCGATGAGATTTCGTCAGACATCAGGCTATCAGCACTGATAACACGCTAAAGTGAATGGGGTCGACAAACTCAACTGCTTCACTCCCTGTGACTAGTTCTGGTGCTGATACAAGCCAATCCCGAAGCAACAATTTGATTTCTAGGGGGAGAATTGTATCTCATCGTCTCTAAAAGCACATAAATGATAAGGTTGAATAAGTATGGAGAAAACGGACACCCCTGACGAACACCAGTCGAAGTAATCAGTTCCATCGTCAGTTTGCCATATGCTTTAACTCGACTAGTACTGATCAAGTGGAGAACCTGTATAAGGTTAACTTTCTTAATTATTGTTCTATGGTAACGTTATGAATTTTTTGATTAAATTACGTTCCTACACAGTTTCACGAAGTTTAATCATTTAAATCGTCATTCAACGAAAGCAATCATTATTAAATATTGTTTTCTGTTTATCTGATCAACAATACAGTCAAGAATAGTCAATAGCTCTGTTGCCTGTTAATCCACCGTGAGAATGATATTCTTAGTTTAATGGTACATACATTTTATTAACAAGAAAGTAGAACATATTGGCTATTTTTTGTTACAGGAAAAACTTAGAACTCTTTATATTCTTCATTCATACTAAAACTTATCCGAACAGTTTAATAAATAACACTTGATTGATCTTATCATATATACAGGTATAGAGTCTATTATTTTTATGAATGTTTTACTAAATAACTGACCGGGAATGTTAATTCTACTAAAATGGATTATTATAAAAATCATAGGTTTGTCTTGCACAACAAGTCTATAGACTAATTTCAACCTTTTACAGCATTATTAAATTACGATTATGAATAATCTTAAAGGTACCAAGCTTTAAAAACAAAATTAATGAGAAATTTATCAACATTGCTTTATTTTATTTTTAAAATATTTGGCTGCCTACTACTAAATGCTTAGTAGTAAGTATATAATTTGTGTTTTACTATTCCGGTGCATATTTCCATATTGATATAATTTAACTGCATGCACAGTTGGTTTTTACAGCTTTAGGCAGTGTTTCAGTGACCAGTTGATCTTTATGATTTTTATAAAGTATTGTAAACGGTATGGTTTCATTGGCAGCACAACATGGCATTGAATTATAGATAGCTTCTCGTTCCACAGAACCCAATCCAGAAAAATAACGATTCATTAGAATACTGTGCGCATTATCTGTCGGCATGTACAATCCTGTGAACGAAATGGAGAGAAAAATAAATTTTGGCTAAAAATACTATATCAGTGAATGATATTTTTTAATTTTGTGTTTAGTCGTAGTATAAACTTTTCATATGTTAAGTCAAATAAACTACTTCAGATAATTGCCCGTTACTACTCTTCATAGTCTGTGTTTTATTACTGTTGAAATTCACTGATGAGAAGTCTATCATCGGTTTTCTCTTGCATAACACCACTTAATGACAAATTAAAGCTTATAATCGTAGGAAACGTCGGATCATCCACTCATATATATATATATATATATATATATATATATATCCATTTTCTCTCACACACATCTTTTAAAAATGTCTTCGTTGCCAAATTCTTTATCGATTCAAACCATTCATATTCTTTCTCACTAATCATCATTTGATTAGAAAGTAATTTTCAAGCATGAAAAAGCACATAGAAAAAATTATTTGAATTGCTGTCTCCTATAAGTAAAAGTTTTTTTTTTTTCATTTAGAAGTACTCAGAAGATAAGATACTGTTGATAGCTTCCAGGGTCTATCTTTTATATAAATCACTCAATCAACAACTAAAACAAATTAAAATGGTTACAATTTCTAGTCATAGACTATTTTTCTCATTCCAGTTTGATCGAGAAGAGCTAATTAGCTCTCCGGTCATGACTTAACTAACAATGATCGCTTACTACTAAGTGATCAATTAATATGAAATCTATAAAAATCATCACAAACATTACAGATAGCAAATAACTAATTCAGCTACCGAAGTGAAATGTAGCATTTGATGTTATTTTCTGCTTGTTTATTGTTACATTTAAAATCATTCATTCTACCAATCGTTGAATATTTGTTACACTTTGAAAAATACTTTAAGATATATCCTAGTTATGACAAATCTAAGTACTTATAAATTCCATTTGAATAGTTTACTTTCAAATCTATAAAGAATTTAGTAGAATTGTTTTTCTTTATTATGACAAATTTATGAATTGTGCATCTCTATTTATTTTTCCAATAAACAGAAGACAATGGAAAAGGTTAACTTATTATTGCCTACTTTTTACAATGTAGTACTTTCAACATAAACAGATAATAATGTCTTTATTTAATTTAACGACATAAATGAATGCACACAAGAATGTGATATTATTCCAACCTCTTAAATCGACCATTGGTACGTAGTTAAGAAGAAAAAGTACATATCATTTGATGTAATGTTTTATGAAAACATCACTGCAAACAATTCCAGCCACAATTCTTATTTTAAAAAAAGGATAAATTAACTACCGATTGTTGTCTTTCATGAGCATATTAAAAATCAATTTTCATTAGCGACAGTCGGGGGAAAATGATGCTTATGCATATACATATATATATCAACTAGATGAATGTCTTTCTTTATCTGTAAGGAATAAAGTAAGAAATATTCAATAAGTTATTGATTAGAAATCAGATACATGGTAGGATCAGTCCCAATTAATAGCTAGAAATGAAATGAAGAATATTTAATCTCGATTAAACAATTTGGAGGAGAGTAATCAAAATGATTAACGCTAACAACTGAAATTATTCAATGTTTAAACGAACAACGCTTAGATGATGTTTTGAGTTTTATGATTACATGAGATTACATTACCACCAAAAGAACGTTTATTTTAATGCTTAGAAATATCATTGACAATCCTATTAGAAATAGATCGCTTAACGATGTTTTAATGAGCAAAAGTTTCATATCTTGTTAGCAATATAAGAAGTGGGTTTCAATATATTCATTGTGTTCTGTGATAAAAGTTACTGTGATTATTGCCACTCAGTAAATAAGTAATATATTCACTAAACACAAAGTTATTTCACTACAAGCTTGGTTAAATTTTAAAACTATCCATTGACTTACCAATACATCTACCATGACACATATTTATTGGTAAATGATGTGGAAATATAATAAATCTTAATTTATCATTTTGATCCATTTGCATTTTATTCAATGTATAACGAAAAAGACAACATTTTGTTTCCCGTTTATTTTTATCTAGAAAACTTGGACACGATTGTGTAGTATGATATGGTGGCTTACTAGATTCAATCAAGAATGACCGATGAGTTAAACGTTTTTTGAGTGAATATTGATTTTCTAGCTGTAGAAGTTTCAGTGATTTCATGCTTAATATAATTTGTGTATTCTGACTTAACACATCATCAATAACATCTGTTTTAACAGATTTGATAACATTTCTTTTAATGAACATATTTTCAAGTTTCTCATCTAATCTTTCATTTATATCATCATTGCCATCAATATCACTGTCATTGCGATCCTCTATAGAGACAAGATCATTACCAACATCGTCATCAGAATCCTGATTCATATTTTTATTTCGGTATATTTTCCCTTTTTCATCAAAATTTTCAAATAATACATTTTCGACAGTATCATTTTCATTGGCAGTAGTAGTAGAAGTTAAAGCACTAGAATAATTTGTTACTAATTGATCAGACAGATCGATAAAATTCAAATGAACATCATCCACACTATTACTTGTATCCTCAGTATTAACTAGTGTCATTATCACTGAATCAATGAGGTGATATTTAGAATACTGTAAATTCTCCATCATCGAGCTAATATCCCATGCAACTTGACGATGTGTTGATTCAATATTGAAAAATTCTATGTCATTTTTTAATGTTTTATTATTTAGGTTGATATAAAAGTGTTCATAGACTTCGTGTTTTGAATTGGTAAGAAAAACGTGTAATTTTAATTGATTTGGATTAATCCAGGAATGAATATATGCTGATAAGGTGGCTAGTAGAATTTTATGCTTTGGCATAATGGAAGATGGATGAAAAGTGAAACAATATTTCAACTGTTTACCAGTGTTTATTTCACATGGAACTAAAAAGGAAATTAGGGAAGAGAAAAAAAGAGTAAAACAACAGACAATGTCTTTTTGATGGTTGGCAAGATAATTCTTCGAAAATTTCAAAATATATAAATAGGGAGTATGCATAAACATATCCTGTTATCAAAAATTTTTTCCTAGTGTTGAAGTGATCCCGAATGCCTGCAATTCAAATGACGGGAATGTGTAAGCCTAGAATGACTGAGATATTATCACATTAGGACGAACCGTTGGTCACATTTCTTAAAGTTCTAAGATAACACGGTGTGATCTTAGAAGAATGAGATGGATAGGACCAGCAATAATCTGACTTTCTACAGCTGTTTAACAGTACATCACTGTTATAAATTATCTTTAGATTACCATTTAGTCACTGTTTAATTTTATTGGAAAATGTAAGCACTTATAGAGGCTGCCATCTTCATTTTCAGTGAGAGAGATTGTATTGATCCCAATATGATACTCTAAACTAATAGCCATAACAGACTTTGTAAAAATTCCGAGTGGCAGTCTATGAACATGAAATCTGGTAGTTTTATTTCCTAAATGGCTGAAGATATATGCTTTCATCTCAACAATAGAAATATATCACTATTCAATCATTCATTAATAAATTGTCAGTAATTCCATATCAAAATTGCCCAACATGTGATGAATATTATCTTTTGTTATAATCAATGTTTTGCATTTTACTAAGTTGTATTTATAAGCCTATGTTTACACATTCAACTTAGAGGATAAAAATATTGTTCGCCCGATTTTTGTAAATATAAATATTTTTAGCAAAACATTTTCTCAAAACAGAATGCATTATTCAGAGTAAACTAGAAAACAGATTGGATTATTGCGCTTCGCTTTTTAATCAAATTATTCGTTTGAAACTAATCAGCTTAGTAAAATGTGTTTGTCGCTAAAATAATAATTTTCGTCTAATTATTTACGTAGTTCTTTTGTTTTTTTTTCTCAAAATAAATTTTACCAATCCTCCTTAATAAATATATTCTGAACAAAATTATTTGAACGAAAGTTAGAAGCAATAATGTTGAAAATTCTCCTTTAAATTATGCATATTGATATATCATTAAACATTGAACAATATTATACTTTACATTAATGTAACATTGAATAACAAGAATTTAAATTATTCTGTACTTTTTCATTTTATAAAGATTTTTCTTCATTCAAGTTCTAAAATAGTGACTCACATACTTATTTTTGTGTATATAGTAAATTTTACATATTTTTTTTATATCACAGAATAATTGAACTTTGTTTCGTCTAAATAACTTATGTTTGTATACATTGAATTTTATCAAGAAACATTCTAACAGTATATTCAAATGCGCATTTTATTATAATTTTTATTTGAACTAACTAAAATATATTCTAGTTTCAATCTAATCATTCTTGTGAGTATATAGTACAAAAATCAACAACATAAAAATCATTTTAAAAAATAGATGAGATAAATGATCTGATTTACAAAATTCTGATTGTATCAGCTTGTACGTTGTTCGCTTAACATTACCAAATTAAATGGTAGATGATATCATTGTTTGAGTTATAATGTTAAGAATAAGCTTCATTTTGTTACAACAGAATGGTTTATAAAAGGCAGAAACCAATCTTGCCTGAGTAGACCTTGAATCCCGTTTGACAAATGTCATACAGCAATAGGCTGGTGCTTTTAATAGTTTGACACCTATTTCAGAATAACTCACCAGTAAATTAAACACTTTAATTATTCATAATGAAACCTTTTTAACCTATCACGTACTAACTGGATCTATGGTAACATATAGTAAATGAAATGATTTTGATATTTAATATAAATGAAACCTTGATCCCGAATTTTTTTTATAAATATCAGTTGTCAACAAAACACAATTCTAATCTTATGTTAAGCGACACCGCCTGTTAAAATTCGAGACTGAATCACCCAGCTTCAAAGTCTCTAACGTTACCACTGAACTGCTTAGCTCTAGATCAATGTGCTCGATGAAAAGTGATATAGTCATAAATTGTTTGATTTCGAATGATAAATGCCTTCGGAATGCAAAATTTTGTAAGTAATCGATTAAGAACTAGTTAAACTCAAAATCGCAACCAAACACTTAAAATTTAAACTATTAACTGAAAAAATCATATTTTTTTTCTAAAATTGAACTATCATTCATAAATTCCATTGAATATTAAACAGTATTATAAATATAAACTTACCTAAATGAAGAAAGACTAGTGATTTTTGTAAATCATCATAAACATCTTTTGCTATTCTACCATATTCATAATCATGCAAAAATTGTTCATTATTCAAAAAACTAATCCAATTTTCCACAATTTTCGGTATGGTTCTACGTATATCGATCAATTCATGCTTTGTCATATTCTTCGGTATACCTTTTAATGTTGATAAAACTTTCAGTATTTCAGAATCACGTAATAATTTCTCCTTGAAATTTAACAAAGTCACTTGTTTATGTAAATTAAATAAATTAAATAGAATTATTGTAAAATATAAAATTGTACAATATTGAAATTGAAACCACATTATGCATTAAAAAAAAAATTTCGTGTCTATATTTGTATAAATCAGAATGGTTAATTTTAAAGGTTTTAATTGATACTGGTAAACGTTTACTTTTATAACAAATTAAAAATCCACAAGATAGAATTTACAAAATGCCTGAAAAAGAATGCATTTATAATAGCTTCGATTAATGCAACAATTATTACCGTGTTTAATTCAATGCATACATAACAACTGTGAATTATGCCCTAAACTATAAATGGTATTTATCAAGTTAATCCATCCAAATTTTTAATCAGCTAATTATTTATTCATGTACTTATATATCTGTATATATATATTTAATTGGTCTATGTAACATTTACTCATTTCTTTTTGTTACTCAGACAGAGTTGTGTAACATTATTCTCATTTTATCAGTTTTAATATTTGTTTCTCTTATTATATCCCCTTAAAAGCAACAAACAAACAAGTTTTTTTTTCTACAAGGAGTGAGAGAAAGAGAAATAGTCATAACAAAAACTATAATAGAGAAAAAATAAAAACAGTATTAATAATAATAATAATAATAATAACAGTTACACTTAGCCAACCAAATTTGAACTGTCCAATAATATTTTATACTACAAAATAATAAATAATGAATAATAACCAAGTGATAAAGAATGATTAAATAAAAACGAGCAAATGAGGAGAAAATAATAATAATAATAATAATAGTATAAACTATCGTTATTTTTCTCCTGTTCTTAACAAAACAACGAACATATTCTGCGTGTTGTTTGAAATTTTATTCAATAATACAATTTATTATCACAAATATATATAAATATATTTGTGTATGTACTTATGTGAATATATGTGTACTTTTGTTAGTTTGATATAAAATTGAGCAATAAAGAGATAGAGTCCATTAAATTTATCGCCTTGTATTGTTAATATACAGTAGAATTATCCTTCTATACCTTTCACTTAACTTCATTCTCACTACTTCTTTAAAGCAAACACCTACACGTATACAACCAACCATTCACTCATATCTATATATATATATATATATAGACACTTACATTTACGATAAAAATTTTAAATGTTTATAACGAAAAGACACAGGAAAGAGACGACTATTATAATAAATGGTTTAAAAAGTTTTTCTCATTTTAAAACAAAACATTAAATTTAAAAATAAGTGTACAATTTGTATACTACTACTGTTAGCCTATGTTATTATTTCGCTAAAATAAAATGTACTGATATAGGTTTACTTGTTGTATTGTTATAGTTAAAAGTGAATACCATAGAGAATGTGAATTATAATTTTGTGATAGTCTACTATTCGGTTTCTGTAGGAAATCATTTGGGACTATACAAATATTTATATGTATCGTTATGTTAACTTATTCGATTTTAACATTCTCATTAGAAATTATATGCGGGGCAACTGAATGAACGTTGGATTATTTATAACTTTATTTAAAAGTGAAATAGCTATAATTGAATACTTGTAAACAGTAGGAAAACTGAACAACATTTAATAAAATTATCTAAACATAGACAATTTATAGACTACTTATCAATTAAACAAATTAAGATTTTTAATTAAAAAAGAACTAATTACTTTTATACAGTAATTTCTTTGTTTTAGAATTATCTGCACTAAAATATACAACGTTCTACATGACTGATTCAAATTTCTTTTTCTGATAATTACTATTTAAATAAATGTGAACAATTATAATTACAGAGTAGTTGTCAATGCTTATTTCGAATAATTAAATATAAACTATTTTACAAGAATCATCAACAGTGATTAAATTACTTATGTGTAGGTTGTATTTGAATTAATGAAAATATTTTTAAATATACCATATTTTTTCTCTTTTGAATATATATTTCGTGATTAGCTCATAAAAATACACTGAGGATGGAGGCCCGTACATTTATTTACATAAATGGAGAAAATTGTCTTTATCTGTTCCTCTTAAATATATATGTGTAAGTACTTCATTTCCATATTTGGTAACAGCAGACACTTTTGACATAATTTTTTTGAAACCAGTAAATTTATTACGTGTAAACAATGATTATAATCTTGTGTTAAACATCAATCAGTAATATATATTAATCAAAAATTATATAAATTTTTTTTCAAGCAAACGTTTGTGTAATATGATTATAAAGTTCTCCGAAAGTGATTCTCAAAATCCCATAACTTAAAAGAATGATAATTTTTACATAAGTGAGTGAAAAACACTTGACCAATGATAGACATTAAATGAATTCTAAGATAGTCTTTGGAAACCATTTTTTCCGCCATAATAAAACATAATTATTTGGATTATTAGAACTGGTTTTTTAAAATGTTTAACCAGTTATCGATAAGCTACTCGAAATTTCAATACTAAACATAAAAATTGATTGTAAACAAAACTGCAACGTTCATTTTCATGCGTACGTTTGATTCATCCCTCTTGCATTGAGAAATATCAAATGATGATTACTGTATAACGTCAGAGAAACATGCTGCATTAAAAGCAGCAGATTCAATAATTTCGCATTATGAATGAGACTACTCGCGAGTAACTTAAATTTATTTTCAAAACCTTTTCCGAAGAACCGCAGTGTTTGATGTCTCATGATTCTAAATAGCTAGACTGATTTTTGAAAGTCAAAACTACTTTGATTCACAGCTGGTAATCCATTTGACTCACTTCCTTATTTCGATTGCTAAATATTGATTTTGTCGTACAACCAACGATGAATGATGGATAGTAGTGCAGAAAAATAAACATGAATTCGGTAAATTCATCCTGAGAATTTTCAAATTCAAAGCTTATCTGTACTGATCTTTGTGTAGATCTAGTAGAATCCTGTCAGATGAACCGAATTTTTTCTTTAGATAACGTTTAAAAGTGAGTGGCTATTAAACTATTTCATTTGGAAATACATTACTTCCATAAGTTTTAAATTGTGGTTAATACTGCAGCTATTAATTCGGTTATGACATTCAGCTAAATTATTTTCATGTAAGCTGTCAACAAAAGACCGTTTAAAGTAAGCTATTAATAATATTAATAATAATACGAGCCCCTAAAGAACCACCTCCGGTTCCACGCCCGAAAAATGGATTAAGGTTGGGTATTGGGTCAGCGACCCCATCCCCAAAAAACTAACTCGCAAAAAAAACGCTTATCAGAAAACGCCGACTACCTCGTCGATTCTTGTTTTGTAGTGTAGGAATATGTTGGAAGAAAGCTAGGGGCGGCCAAACCAAAACATGGCAGAAATCCATGAAGTCATTGACGAGTGGACTTCGCCATGTCGGTAATTGTCGACTACCTGGTTGGGGTCCGCGAGATAATAATAATCGATGGTTAGAGACCTTGAATGACATGTCTCAAAATCGTTCGCAATGGCGCCGGTGCATTTATTCTTTGTGTTCTCTCAAATCCTAACCTTCTGGGTTCTTCAACCCCTCTAGTTTCGACTCTCTAAACTTTTCTCACTGAATCATACTTCTTGAATAGTATTTTCTAATCCTAACCTCTCCGATTACTTCTAATACCTTTACTACCTCTTCTACTATTGGATTTGAATTGACGATTACTTCTCTGTGCTGATGTGGTATGACAACATGAACTGATGTACTTATGTACAAAGTTCTACGTTGCAAATGACTGACTGACTGACTTTTTAAACTGAAACTGAATAGATTAACTTGGAAAATAGGCTTGCTTAGTTGATGCTATATCATAATTGTATAAGAAATATCTTATATGTGTATATACCAACTTCATCGAAATTTTTCTCATTGTATATTTTCAGGCAGAACGAGACACATACACATTGAAATTCACACACTCAAAAGAAAATACTAAAGCTCTACACCACCGTATCTAGAACATAAACTGTGGGACGAACGGGTTGTAAGGAATGACCTAGCTCTAGAAGACTTACACACTTAAATTGGCCGCTTATTTCTCTGTTGTAAAGATTATTCTATTTTCATAAAGATTTCCCTATTTCACCAAACATACAATAATAATTAAGCCTTTATAATTGAATATGAATATATAATATGAATATATTCAACCTACATTAATTATACTTTTGTTAATGAAATTATCGTCAAATTCACACCAAAGAGTATAATGAATTGTAAACAGAAATAAAAGGATTTTCAAAACTAGACTAAGCAATATTTCATCGAGTTAGTGATTCACATTTACTAAAAAACTAATCCAAGGGTAACTGAATAGTTATAAAGATCTTACTGAATTTGTTTGATGAATATTGTTACTATTAAAACTCTTGTTTTGATGATTTGCTTCAAAGCTTCATTATCTTGATACTAATCAAGTGGTTTAGTAATCATTCAGCCAAAACATTTAATCACACATCAAACCTTAAACTATTACATAACAGTGTGTTTTAAAAAATCTGATTAGATTGTGTATACTTTCAGAATGACAACATTTTATAGTTGTCTGTAATGATTCAACATTAAGTTGAATTATATTACCCTTTACACTGGATCACATGGAAATTTACATGAAGTAGCAATTCATTTGTATTCTATTCACAGTATTTCAGTTAAAACACTTGTAGTATAAAACATACAATGTAACTATACCAATTGTAATCAATGATTCATTAAAACTTTTCACACCATCAGTCATCATACAATCAAATTTATTGTTTCTTCATTTTATACACTTGAATGAAATGAGAAGTGATTTGATTTGTACAATATTTCTAGTTCATCTAATCACTTTAATGAGGAAATTACACTTCATAATAAATATATTTTTACATTCCAATCACCTGTGGGTTTGAAGAATACCAGCTAGAATATACCTTGTGATTATAATGATTCTTGCCA